AAAGAAAAGGATTCTTGGAAGAAAAAGGTAAGTGAATCAAACTTAAGCCTTGTTTTGAGCCATAATTGTAATTGTTGATTATTGTATGGTTGTATATGATGTATGGTGAGAATTGTTGGCCATTTAAATGCTTGAATGATGTGTAAAAGTTCAGCCATGAAGAATAGTTCATTTGTATGTGATGATTTGGCGAATTAGCACATGAAATATAGAAGAAGTATTGATGGAAAGTTGGAATGATGATTTCGGCCAGATTAGGAGTTGAGTTTTTGGTGAGTTTTGTTCCAATTTTGAGGTATTTGGAGAGATGTGGAAGTGTGGCCAACCAAGTACTTGTATGTGCATGTAAATTGTTTGATGAAAACTCAAAAAGAAATGCATGCATAAATTTGTTGACTATCGTTGAAGATATTGTTTGAGAAAGGAAAGAATTGATGCTAAAGGTTGTATTAGACTTGACCAAGAATAAGTTTAAGTGTTTAAGAGTGCATTTTGTTATGCCAAAATTTAGAATAACACTTGGTTATGTTAGTTTAATGAAATGAATGGCCTTTAGTGCATGGTTCAAGTTGCTTGAACTTTTAGCATTAGTTTGAATGGCATATTGTATTTAGTCATTGAATTATGAGTTTTGAAACCTATGACTTCGAAAAGCGATGGCAAGAATTGAATATTAAATTGTTGCAATAGTTTAGCATTGATGATAGTAAAAGATGAGTGATTATATTATAATATTACAATGTGTCACAATAAGTTGTCAAGCTTGTATGCTTAAAATTAGAAAGATCATCCAAATAATGGCTTAGCCAAATGAGTATATTGTTGTTTCTTGTTTTGATATTAGTTACAAACAATATGTAATAAGTGATTTTATTGTATAAAGAAAAGAAAAGCTTTCCCAAGTATAGAAATCAAAAGAAACATCAAAGAAATAGAAGTTTGGTTTATGTATTAAATACATGACCATTTTAGAAATTGATTGGTATGAGTATAGTTTTCATGTCTTATTATATATTACAAGTTATAGAATTGTGCTAGAAGATCTTGAGAATATTTTGTATTAGCCAAAAGTTTAGTTAAGAATGTTAGAAAGAAATTAGAATTTAGCAAAAATATATATGTTGTGCCATATGTTAAATTGTATTTACAATGATTAATATGGCAATATAGATTAATGTATAGAATGTAGCCAAAAGAAAAGAAGAAATAAGGGCATGTATAACAATTGAGGTTGATGGTCATGTTAAGAGAATGCAAATTCATGGCATTAAAATTTGCATTTAGAAAGTTGTAAAGGCATGATTGATGAAATGAATTCTATGGCGGATAATAAAGTTTGGGATCTTGTTGAGCTGCCTATTGAAAAGAAACCTATTGGTTGTAAATGGGTATTTAAACCCAAAAGGGATTCATTAGGCAACATTGAGAGATACAAGGCTAGGCTTGATGCCAAAGGGTTCACGCAAAGGGAAGGGATAGATTATAAAGAAACGTTTTCTTCGGTTTCTAAAAAAGATTCATTCTGCATCATCATGGCATTAGTTGCCTAATTTGATTTAGATTTACATCAAATGGATGTGAAACCAACTTTCCTCAATGGAGATTTGGAGGAAGAGGTTTATATGAAACAACTTGATGGGTTCATTTCAAGTGATGGTGAGCATTTGGTTTGCAAGCTTAAGAAGTCTCTTTATGGACTTAAACAAGCCTCCTGATAGTGGTATTTAAGATTTCACAATGTTACCTCTTCATTTGGTTTTGTAGATAATGTCATGGATCAATGTATATATCACAAGGTCAGTTGGAGCAAAATCATCTTTCTTGTGTTATATGTAGATGATGTTTTGCCTGCAACCAATTATTTGGGTTTGCTGCATGAGGTGAAACAATTTTTCTCTCAACATTTTAGTATGAAAGATATGGGTGAGGCGTCTTATGTCATTGGCATTAAGATTCATAGGGATAGGTCCCAACATGTTTTAGGACTATCTCATGCAGGAAGCCTATATTAATAAAATTCTTGAGAGATTTAGGATGAAGGATTGTCCACCCAATGTTGCACCCATTGTTAAGGGTGACAGGTTCAATTTGAACCAATGTCCTACACTTGATATTAAAAAGGAACAAATGAAAATCATTCCTTATGCTTCAGCTATTGGAAGCCTAATATATGCTTAGATTTGTACTAGACCTGACATTGCTTTTACAATTGGCATGTTAGGAAGATATCAAAGTAATCCAGGTTTAGATCATTGGAGAGCTGCAAAGAATGTCATGAGGTATCTTCAAGGAACTAAAAGTTTTATGTTTAAATATAGACAGTTTGACATTTTGGAGGTTGTCGATATTCAGACTCAAACTTCGATGGCTGCGTTGATTCTTAGAAATCAACATCCGGATATGTTTTTATGCTAGCCAGAGGTGTTATATCTTGGTGAAGTACCAAACAATCTTTGGTTGCCACTTCTACTGTGGAAGCTGAGTTTGTTTCCTGTTTTGTGGCTACTACACAAGGTATTTAGTTGAGAAGTTTCATTTCTAGGCTTGGAATTGTTGAGTCTATCTCGAGGCCAATAAGGTTGTATTGTGACAATTCAGCTGTTGTGTTCTTTGCTAAGAATAATAAGAGTGGAAGTCGAAGTAAACACATCGACATTAAGTACTTGGCAATAAAGAAGCGCATTAAAGCCAAAGAAGTGCTCATTGAACACATACACACCGAGCAGATGATTGTTGATCCTCTAACAAAAGACATGCCACCAAAGACACTCAAGGATCATGTAGTTCAAATGGGATTACGTCCCGCTTTGTCACTATAAGAGGTAATACTTTCATTCTTTGAAACTTTGTAATTTAGTTTGTTTTCTCTTTTAAGTTATATACATTTTGGATTGGAGACAAACAATCATTCTGGAAGACCTAGAACAAACATTTGAGGTTTGTTCATAAAGTAAAATTCCACATTTAAGCGTTTATTTAGAAAGAGAAAATTGCATAGTAATACATAGAAGGTAATACTTATTTAAAAAGAACTTACTGCTATGATTCATGCAATTTTATTTTTCTAATTAAACATAAAGGATATAAAACTACTATGTTGTAGATTGTGTAATAAAAGTTTGGACCAAGTGAGAGAATGTTAGAATTTTAATTAATTAAAATTCATTGCGCTAAAATTACTATTTGGTCCTTCACTTTTATATACATTATTTTATATAAAATTTTAACTGCTAAACAATTTGCAGCAGTTATCCCCAGCAGTTGTCTTGAATGGAAAAACTTATGCGTACTTTAAAGGAGGAATAGTTATAGATCCCCAATACACGCAATTATTATGATTTTCCAAAAACCATCGTTTTGAGAATTGTAGTGCATTGAAAGAGTATGTAACCTTTGAAGAACATAGCAACAACAAATTGCCATGGCTGGAGGTTAGTGGTTAACTTATTTCACTTCCGTAAATCTTCTTGAATATATAAGCGTGTATATGAATAATGATATGAATATATACATGTTGATTATGAGTGATTTACATTGCTGGTTTTAACATGTACTTCATTTTCTTGAAAAATATTTGGAGTTATCATTTTGAATTACTAATTTACTACCCCCTTAAAGTCTTACCAATCATAATCTTATATCTATATTTTGTTAGATCTAGAGACTCCAGGTCCAAATCCTTTTGGCTCATAAATCCAGTTACTGGACATCGACCTGAGTTCCCTCCCATGTCTGAACCTTTTCGTATTAACGAATGGAGGTCGTGCCATTTTTGCTTCCATTGGCTCTCAGGATCTGGATTTTCTATTGTGATTTTCTCTAAGCAGGACAGGAAGTTGCACTTTTGTAGATCTAGAGATAAACCAGTGGAAAGAGTTCTTTCATCATTAAAGATACAGTTGTTTTTTATGGTAAAATATTTGTTCTAATTAATGAGTCTAGGATTGGAATATTCAACATGAGAACTTGTTTTTTGAGGATTTTGAATCTAAAACGTACACCTCGTTATGAATATGATGATTACATCGGTTCTAGTTTTACTAGGTTGGTGGCTTCAAATGATCAGCTTTTGACAGTAGAATATCTTAAAGTTTACAGAATAGATTTTTCAAGGATGGAACGGGTGAATGTGAATAACTGAGGTGACAAAGCTTTGTTTATTGGTTATGGTTGTCGTGACCAAGTGTGCCCATAATTAATCAACCCAACATACTGGGGAGGACAAAGCAACTGCATTTATAGGCTCACGACTTACAGTAATTTTCATCTATACTCTTAAAAGTTAAGATGCAGAAGAGTACTTCTATTCCCAAAGAGGATAACTACTCTTGGCACCAATCATTCTTTATAGATGATGTATGGGATGTTAGAGATGATCAAGTTTTAATTTAATAACATTCTTGAATCTCATAGATCATGTTTTATATTGAATCTGTTTCATTATTCGGTCACTCACTAACGGACTATCTTACAGAAAAGAAAATGGAAGGTTAAGGGTGTAGTAGGAATGATTATGAAAAGGAGATTGGGGCATTGTCTGAGATATTTATGAAAGAAGCTTGTGGTTTTGGTTATTTAATATAATTTTACTTTAATTAAATAAATAGCACAAAATTAAAGTATGTTATAATCTCATAGATACTGTACATTGGAAATAAAAGGGCTGAAAAAATTAGGGTTATTTAATATAATTTTACTTTAATTTTTTTTTTTAAAAAAAAAATTATATAAGGGTAATTTTGTAAAAAAAATTAGAAAAGGGCTGAAAAAATCAGGGTTATTTAATATAAGTTTACTATAAAGTTTTATTTATTTTTTTGGTTTAAAAATAGGGATAATTATGGGGGTCAATATTGAATTAACATTAGATCTTAGACTCCTTACTCCTTAGCAAAAGGGATTTGTTTCCTTTAATATAGGTAACATAAATTGATACATAAACGGAGCCACAAAGCACAAACCCTTGTTTAGGATCACTTGTTTTCTTCAATCTCTAAAATATGCAGTCACCGTTAAGCTCTTCAGGTATGAGCGATTTATGAGTGATTAACCATTCTTGTGACTTTTTATATCATGAATTTTGACTATTTACTTATTCTTAAGGGTTTTAGATCACAATGCTCATTATACTTGTTTTCTGTAATTGCTTACGCATCAATAGTTTGGATTAATTTTACGAATTGTCAACATTCTTCTTTTTTATGTTCGAATCTTTAAGAAAAAATTCTTTTGGGTACAGTTGTTGATAATGAATGGTGTTGAGGTTATAGCTCTGGGTTTTATTCGTTTCTGTAGGACTTGGATACTTGGCAAAAAATAGGTTTATTATCGTACAATTTTATTGCATATAAATTAATAATACTTTCAGCTGATTATGTTATAACTTCGCAACTATGACAAAAAATTGCAGGCACATTGCTGGAAAGAGAGAATAATAGAAGATCCAATCAGGCAAGGAGGGTCCACTGTAAGAGATCATCAGCATGGGCTGATCTTCCGGAGGAACTTCTTGAGATTATTTCTAGAAGTCTGAATATAGTAGACTATCAAAACCTTGGTCGAGTTTGCAGAAGCTGGAGATTGTTTTATTCAGAATTTAAGCAGAGTTTTCTGACATCTCATTCACCACTTATTGTTTATGCATCAACACGAGCCAAGAAGTATTGTTATTTCTTTGACATAGCTACTCGAATGAAATACAAGACTAAGCTGCCTCGACATATTTGCAACTTCAAATTCTGTCTTGGTGTTTCAAGTGGATACTTAATCATGCTCTGTCTCAAGACAAACGATGTTTCAAGGGATTATTTATGGGTTATAAATCCTTTTACAGGACATCAAATCCAATTCCCTTGCATGCCCTGGCCTCATTGTATTGAGGATTATCATGACTCTTGCTTCTCCCGAAGCATCTTTGCTTCCTTCTTTGCTTCCTTTGGGTCACAGGGTCAAGATTTTCTTATTATGATTCTTTCTAAGTATGTCAAAGTCTTGCAGTTCTGTATATCTAGAGATAACAAGTGGAAACAATACCATTATTATAACAAGGGTGGGCATATATTGGATATAGTTGTTTTTGATGGTCGGATATATGTTATAAACAGTGATTCTAGGATTGGGATATTTAACCTGAGATATTGTGATTTGAGGTTTTTGGAACTGAATTTTGCACCTCGTTTCGGCAGTCATTTTGATAAGTCGATTAGGTTGGTGGCTTCAAATGGTCAGCTGTTTGTAGTTGATTCTCCTAAAGTTTACAGAATAGACTTGTCAAGGAAGGAATGGGTGAAGGTGTATAATTTAGGTGATCAAGCTTTGTTTCTTGGCCATGGTGACATGATGTGTTCCAAGGTAATTAACCCATCAAAGTGGGGAGGACAAAGCAACTGCATATATGATTTATTCCCGTTTAACAAAAAGGAGCCATGGAAAACTATTACCAGATATAATTTATTCCCGTTTAACCACCAGGAGCCACGGGAAACTATTATTGTTGATTTCCCACAGAAAGGGGAAGGGAAAGGTTATGCTTCGACCAAAATATGTTCTTGGTATTTTCTACCCGTGTCAAGCAGTATTGAGAATGTAAGGGATGAGTAGTGGGGTGGTTTGTAAAGATTTCTAAGCTTAGACAAGTTCAAGTGTGAACTCTTTTTTTCTTTGTCAGAGTTATATGTTGTTTCTTCTAACTCTTTTACAATTGTTAGTATGCTCAGAGACAGTAACAATACAATATTGTTGACAATTTGCTAAATCTTGTATATTGCCATTACAAGGTTTTTATCTTTTCTATGTACTTAGAATTAACACTATAATCCAGAGTATACCTCTACTATTTTGCATTGTTGCCAATTCTGAAACCTTGTTAAAATCATTAAGAGAAAATCGGAAGAGAGACAAATTTTCAAAACTGGAATAAAAGATTTCAGGGCAGTACACTTATCAGCAATGTTGTTGTTTCTTGCTGAGGTCAGTTCCCTTGAAATTCAATTGGGTTTGTAGTTGTTAAACTGCCTCTATCTGATATGAGTTGTAGAATAAAGCCTTGCTATACTGTGTATTAATTTTCTTTTTTTTGGTTGCAAACTTGGAGGAAGATTCCCAGTGTCGAGTTTTAGTTTTAACTTTGTTGTGGCTATCTTGAGTGGTGACTAAGTTTGAGAGGAAGATAGCTGGAGCGGTGGCCGACTGAAAAACTTATATATAAGGGCAGCATAAGCTGCGGAGAAGAGATGTGAAAATATGAGAGAGTTTTTTAGTTTAGTCTTGAATTCCGTAAAGACACTGTCACTTAACAAAGTCTATGGCTTGCCAATGAAACATCAATTGTGCCATCTGAATATTGTTGAATTATATCTGAATATTGTTTTTCTTTTCTGTTTACATGAATCATAACATTATGAATTGTCCACAAATTATTTGTCTTACCTTCTATTTATTCTATTTAGCAACTCTCAGTCTAAAGTTTACAGATCACAATAAATAAGGGGACACATTTCAAAATCAATTTAAACAACCTATAGTCTCTCATGCCGAAGACTACTATAAAATGTAATTGTCCAGCAGTGAGATGACACACGCTGAAATCTTGCTCTTAGCGTCACTATACACGCTCTTGGCATCACTACAATCTTGTCAATAGTTAGCGGCTAACTCCGGTGAAGGTGATTTTACCAGATCCTGTAAACTAGTGTCGTACCACCTTGAAGTGTTGTTTCGGGCAAGGATTCTTTGTGGGTAAAATGGATCCACACGTTTAAACTTCAGGGTAGAATTTTTTGGAGCATCAAAATTCCATGGGATGCTAGTTGGAGTTGGAGGAAACTCCTTGAGTTGAGGGATATAGTCCGGATGCATATTGGCTCTACTTTGGGAAATGGTGACTCTATTTCAGTTTGGCATGATTCTTGGAACCCTTTGGGTCCTCTTGAAAGAATTATTAATTCCAGATCAGTTTATGATTCGAGATTGGGCTAGTGTGCTATGGTTAGCAAGATAATCCAGAATGGTCAGTGAGTTTGGCCTGATGTGCTCTCTGATCGCTTCCCGCAAGTTGTTAGACAATCTCCTAGCATTCCCAGTTCTTTTTCCAGAGATATGATGGTGTGGAAGACTAAAGAGGGGAAAGCTGTGAGGTTCTCGGTTAAGCAGGTTTATTTTGATTTGTCTCCTGTTTGCAATACCTCTATGGACTCTCATAATCACCTCTTCTGGCGGAAAGTGCAAGCAAAAGGTAATTTCAGGGTTCCTGTAGAAGGATGGGATAACATCATCTTCTGGTGTTCTAGTAATTTCAAGGGTAAAGGAGCTAGAAATGTTATAAAGCGTCTCCTCATTGTAGCCTCTACGTACTGGATATGGCAAGAAAGAAATCTTCGGCTTTTCAAAGGTATTAGTAAGAACCATCAATGGGTTGTGAACCAGATTTTTAATGTGGTGAGGCTCAGGCTCAGTAGTCTTAGGTTTAAGGATACTAAAAGGGTCAGAAGAGTTTTGAAGGAATGGGACATTCCTAGGATCTGTTTTAATGAGGGATAAGATGGTTTTGAGTCTTTTGTCTGGGTGGATTTGGTTGGTCTTTTGTTTTTTCTTAGGGGATTCTTATTGGTTTTTCGGGTGTTTGGGGTGGGTGTTGAGTTTTGTTTCTTGCGTCTGTTCAGATGTGTGTTGGAGATTGTCAGTGTGTCTGGTTGGGTTTGTTTTGGTCGGTGGGTGGGTGTGTTGGGGTATGGAGATTGTTATAGGATTCTTAACACTGGTGTGTTGGGAAGGTTGATGCTTTTTTTGTTTTGTGTTGGCACTTGGGGCTTTCTTTTCTTATTGTTGACCTTGTTCTTTCTCGGGCTGATTTTTTATGTGGCTGTCGTCTGCCTTTTGTCCTCTTGTCTTGGCATTTCTGCATGTTTGTTCTGGTTTATAATGATTGTAGAATTTGTGATTTTGTTGGATTGATGGTGGGCTGTAGTATGCTGGTGTTATGGGGTGGTTGGAGTGCTTTGGGGAATTGGAAGCTGGAGCTGATGTGTGTGGGACCGTATGTTGTTGAATGTTTTTTTTGCTGTTTTGTTTGTGGTTCCAGGATGCTTTAGTTGCTGCTAGGCTGCATTTTCGCACAGTGAATTTTCAAAAGGCCGAGCTTAAGAAGCACGGGGAAGAGATAAAGGAACTCTAGAGAACCATAGCCAGGCTCTCTAGGGAAGTCAGCGAGAAAGATCAAGAGCTTAAAATGACTTCTCAGTGGGCCTTATGAGCAGAGCAGGAGAAGGAGGTCTCAGAGAAGCAAAGGCAGGCTCTCGAGGCCGAACTCCAAGAAGTCAAGGAAAAGTTACTTCACTGACCGAAGAGATGCAGAATCAAGCAGAGGAGATCGAGACGAAAGCTACTGAATGGGTGATCGAGCCCATCTATGCCTTGCGGCCGAAGAATCAGCTTGATATGTCCGACCTCCCGGAGGATTGGCGAGAAACTCTCCTCTCCATGACGCAGTGCGAGGATAAGGAAGCAGCGGAGGCCGCCCTAGGATTTGATCAGGGAGATGCTTTGGGACACGCCCTTGAGGAACCTACAGCTGATCAAGCGGCTGGCGACTAGCCCTGAGATAGCGAGGTTGGTCCTCCAGGAGTCGAGAATCAGAACCGATAATTGTAATTTGACTTTAGGATCTTGTCTTGTTCGCTGTACTTATTAATGAAATGCATCTTAAATCTCGAGCACTTACAATTTCTGTATCCAATGAGATCACATTTTAACCGTTTATAACATTAGAACAAGTCTATGCGAACATAATTATAACATGTCTATACGAACAGAATTACATGCGAAGATTATTACAAAAGAACATAATAATACACTTGCCATTTACATTTACAAAGATTGAGACAAATAACAAAATCTTTATAGGGAAAAACTAAGTTCGGAATTACTGATAATATGGTCGGAGATGCTCATCATTCCAAGCTTGGGGTACTTCGAAACCATTCAGCCTTTTGAGATGATAAGTCCCCGGTCTTATCACTTTGGCGATGCAGTATGGATCTTCCTAGTTTGGTCCTAGAACTCCCGAACTCGGTTCTCTAGTACCGAGGAGAACTTCCTTTAAAACAAGGTCGCCAACCTAGAAGTCTCTTCTTCTGACCTTTGAGTCAAAGAACCTCTTCGCGCGTTGCTGATAGGCCGCTATTCTTAGTTGAGCCTTGCTACGATGTTCTTCAACTAGGTCTAGACTTGCGCGTATAAGCGCTTTATTGTCAGCTTCGTTGTACATGTCCCTCCAAAGAGAACCGGTTCCTACCTCCACAGGGATCATCGCTTCGCAGCCATATGCTAGCGAAAAAGGGGTTTCTGAGGTAGAGGTTCTCGGAGTTGTTCTGTATGTCCATAAGACTTCGGGGAAGTCGTCGGCCCAATTCCCTTTGGCTGCGCCAAGTTTTGCCTTTAAAGTGTGCTTGATGGTTTTGTTGACAGCTTCAACTTGACCATTTGCTTGCGGCCTTGTGACTAAGACAAATTTTTTATGAATACCCATCTCGTCGCAAAACTGCTTGAATTCCTCGTTGTCGAATTATTTACCATTGTCCAAGATAAGAGTGTGAGGAATCCCATAGCGACACACAATGTTCTTGAAGACGAAGTCCTTGAGCTTTCTGGCTGTGATCGCGACTAATGGTTCTGCTTCGACCCACTTGGTAAAGTTATCTACCGCGACCACAATGTACTTTACTCCCCCTTTACCAACCGGTATGGGACCGATGAGATCGATTCCCCACATGGAGAATGGCCAGGCGCTGGTCATGGTTATCAGTTGGTGGGAAGGAGCTCGCGGTATGTTCACAAATCGCTGGCACTTGTCACACCTTTTGACAAAGTTGTAGGTGTCTTCTTGGATTAGGAGCCAGTAGTACCCTTGACGAACAACTTTGTTGGCGAGAGATCGTGCGGCGGTGTGATTACCGCAAATCCCTTCATGTATCTCCCTCATAATGTAATCTGCCTCTTCGCTAGTTACACATCGGAGGAGAGAGGCGCTAAACTCTCGCCCGTACAGTTGGTCTCCGATAAGGGTGTACCGAGAAGATCTTGCTCGCAGAGTCCTTGCCTCGACCTTGTCGTTAGGCAAGGTCCTGTTCCTGAGACACTGAATGATAGGGGTCATCCAAGAATCCGATTCAGTTACATTCATGGCCTGTTCGATCGGGCTGATACTAGAGGTCTCGATAAATCGAACAGGAATGCTCTCCGGTGCATCTGAGTATAATGACGAGGCTATCCTTGCTAAGGCATTTGCCACAGAGTTGCTATCTCTAGGAATCTGTGTGATCGTGAAGTGCTTGAACGGCTCGAGTACGACCTTAGCTTTCTTCAGATAGCTGATCATATTTTATTCCTTGGCTTGGTACTCTCTGAGAATCTGGTTAACGACCAACATATAGTCGCTGTGGATACTGATCACGGTTACACCCATTTCTCTAGCCAACCGCAGTCCAGCCAGCAGAGCTTTATACTCGGCCTCGTTATTGGTAGTCTTAAAACCAAACCGAAGAATACCGTGAATGCGAGCCCCTTCGGGACTCAAAAGGAGAAGACCTACCCCGACCCTCTTT